TCACGATTTCATCCGAAAATCTGGAAGAACAAAGTGTCAAAAGTGTCAGTAGTCAACCCATCAAATCGAAAATCTTCGCAACAATGGAGATCAAAGGTCATCCCGTTCGTTTTCAAGTCGACAGTGGCGCCACCTGTAATGTGATAAGCAAAAACGATTTACCGAACGAGTGCCCGATCGCGCATTCGAAACAAGTCCTCAGCATGTTTAACGGATCGAAAATGGAAACCATTGGTAAATGTCGTGTTAATCTGGTAAATCCCAAGGTTGATGAAGAATGCGAAACAGAGTTTGTTGTTGTCAATAACGACTGCACGCCACTGTTGGGTTCCAAAACGGTGCAGAAAATGAAATTAATCAAAGTGCGTTACGAGAATATCTCATTGGTACAAGAAAAGACAGAAGCAATGGGCCTAACGATGCAACAAATAGCAGCAGATTTCCATGACGTTTTCACTGGAGAAGGAAAATTTGAGAAGAAACTTCACTTAGAGTTGGACATAACCATTGAACCAGTGAAACAGCCTGTTAGAAGGATTCCAGTGGCAATGAAACCCAAGTTAAAGCAAGAGCTCACTCGTCTCGAAGAACTTGGTGTTATCAAAGCAGTTGACACTCCAACAGATTGGGTCTCAAGCTTGGTACTTGTTAAGAAGCCCAACGGCAAGCTTCGCGTGTGTATCGACCCTCAGCCACTAAATAAGGCTTTGAAACGCAGCCACTACCCTCTTCCGGTTATCGACGATCTCCTGCCGGACTTGTCAAAAGCTAAAGTCTTCAGTGTGTGTGACGTTAAAAACGGGTTTTGGCATGTCGAGTTAGATGAAGATTCAAGCTATCTAACAACGTTTGGCACTCCATTTGGTCGGTACCGGTGGCTGAAGATGCCATTTGGCATATCACCCGCACCGGAATATTTCCAACATCGTTTGGATCAAGCCATCGAAGGCCTTCCCGGTGTGCGCACAGTTGCAGACGACATCCTCATCTCGGGTGAAGGTGACACTGTGCAAGAAGCAGTGAAAGATCACGACAAAAAACTGCTAACTCTACTTGAAAGGTGCCGCGAAAAGGGAGTGAAACTGAACAAGGAGAAGTTCAAGTTGAAGATGACAGAAATCCCCTACGTTGGTCATGTGTTAACAAGAGATGGACTAAAACCAGACCCATCCAAAATAGACGCCATCAAAGGCATGAGGCGACCAACAGATGTGAAAGGTGTACAGCGGCTTGTTGGTATAGCGAATTACCTGACGAGATTCTTAAAAAAGCTGGCAGACATTTGCGAACCTCTTCGACAGCTAACGCGCAAGGATGCAGAATGGCACTGGAGCGACGTCCATGAGAGCGCCTTTAAGAAGATCAAAGAAGCAGCTTCCCAAGCACCTGTCCTCCGATACTTTGATCCCGCCAAAGAGACTGTACTTCAATGCGACGCCTCGGACACTGGACTTGGAGCTACGCTTTTACAAAATGGTCAGCCAGTGGCATACGCATCGCGATCCCTGACGGATACAGAACGCAACTATGCGCAAATAGAGAAAGAACTGCTAGCCATAGTGTTTGGAGCCGAGAAGTTCAACCAATACACTTATGGTCGCAAAGTGATTGTTGAGAGCGACCATAAACCACTTGAAGTTATTTACCGCAAACCTCTCGTGGCCGCCCCCAAGCGTCTACAACGAATGCTACTTCGCCTGCAGAAGTATAACCTCGAAATTGGTTTCAAGCCAGGCCAGCACATGTATCTGGCAGACACACTCTCTAGAGCACCCCTTCCCAACACCACATCGCGCGATGAAGTGCTAACCATCGACAAAGAAGTTGAAGAAATACATATGGTCGAGTTTCTGCCACTCCGCAAAGCTAGCCTAGACGATATCCGTAAAGAAAGTCTGCGAGACAGCACGATGCAAGCACTTCAGAAAGTCATTCGAGAAGGGTGGCCTGAGACCAAGATCGATCTCCCAAATGACGTCACGCCATACTTCAACGTTCGTGACGAGCTATCAGCGCAAGATGGAATTATCTTCAAAGGAGACAGATGTGTAGTTCCAAAATCCCTCAGACCAGAAGTCCTATCCAGAATCCACCGATCACATATTGGCGTGGAAGGATGCTTGAGACGCGCGAGAGAAAGCGTTTTCTGGCCAGGAATGAACACAGCTGTGAAGAACTTTGTCAGACAGTGTGAAACTTGTCGAACCTTTGAGATCTCCCAGCAGAAGGAAACACTCCACCCACATGAGGTACCTGACCGGCCATGGTCCAAGGTTGGTGTTGATCTGTTTGAGACAAACAACCGACATTACCTCGTGACCGTAGATTACTACAGCAACTACTGGGAAGTCGATAGGTTGGAGTCCAGTACAACATCTAAAGCTGTTATTTACAAATTGAAGCAACACTTTGCAAGGCATGGCATCCCGAACACTGTGTTTTCCGACAATGGCCCACAGTTTGATTCGGACGAATTAAGGAGATTTGCTCGAGATTGGGAATTCAATCATTTAACCTCAAGTCCCGGACATTCGCAGTCCAATGGTATGGCGGAAAGCGCAGTCAAGACTGTGAAAAGGCTTATTAAGAAGGCTAACAAAGATGGAACAGATCCTTGGCTCGCGATCCTCGACCACCGAAACACACCCTCAGAAGGCATGAAAAGCAGTCCAGCACAACGACTAATGAGTCGTCGAACAAGGACCCTACTCCCAACAAGCGAGAAGCTCCTTAAACCCAAACTCGCCGAAAATGTCCAAGAAGAAAAATGGAAGACAAGAACCAAGCAGGCATTTTACTACAATAGAAACGCTCGAGATTTGCCACCACTGAAAACTGGAGACTCAGTGCGCATTCAGCCCACAAGCAACCCCAAGGCGCCCTGGAAGAAAGCCACTGTTCAGGAACAGGTGAACATGCGATCCTACAAAGTCCTCACAGAAGATGGCTCTGCCCTTAGACGAAATAGAAGGCATCTGAAAGCAACTACAAAAGAGTCTCACACGCCAACAACCCAGATGCCCAAGCAGACAGAACTTCCCTCGCCATCTAAACACATTGAACAAGAAACTAACGCCAGTGGTCACTCCAGCTCAGAAGTAGCGAAGCCACAGGAGCCAGCGATCGAGCAGCCTGCGACTGATCTAGCATCGCAAGCTTCCAAAGGCAACCAGACTCGCAGTGGTCGAATAACGAAGCCCCCGTCCTATCTGAAAGACTTTGTTCGTTAACCTGAGTCAGTGTCATGAGAGACAAAGACATTACCGGACTTGACTAGTTGATTCTTTTGGATAGTGGTTTTGATTTTTTTGTTTCTCATGTTTGTTTTGATTGTTCCGTTGTTTTCGTTTTGTTTCTTATGAAAGAAAGGATGTAACGAGAGCACACTCGGAGATCACGTGCACCTCAGGTGACACATGATACAGCGGTCGATGTTATCTAATCGCCAAAGGTTTTAGATCACATATATCTACATGAGAGCGCACTTAGTTTATAAATAAAGACTGTTCGTTACCTAGAAATCGTGTGTTTATGGTAGAACGAAACACACAGCTCGGACGCTTCTTGCAAAATGTGATGAATACCAATTTTAGAGATTAATTCTTCAGTTTCCAGCATTAGGAAAAAAACTATCGTATCGCAAGCATGCTCATCACAACACCTCGAGATGTTGAGCGAAGAGAAAGTGGCTCCATGTTTTGTGACACAAACCATTTCCTGAAGTTCGAACGAATCGAGTAGAAAGCATGAAAACATAGCGCTGAAAAGTACGACAACCAAACAATTAAATCCACTCATCCCGCTGTAGGACCATCCCCATTTTACCCGTAAGTGTTTGTTTGCACCACACATTTGCGGTCTGTAATTTGATTCTCAAATGTTTGACGGGTTCACACGTGACAATATCGTCAAAATCAAATTACCGCGTTAGACTTAATGTAAACATAAACATCGCTGACTCAATCCCATTTTATTTTAATTTTGGGAAAGGCCATTACTTCGTTCTTAGGGTAAAACAACACATCTTCGGCAAAAGCGCAAATTTTTCAAATGAATAGAGTAAATCCTGCAATAATTAACTGAAGAGAAAAAAAGTAGAATCTTGCGCTCGCCGTTCGACATCATTTGAAAACTTTCTAGGCAAAACAAAATACGTAAGATAACTTCTTTTCCCATAACACCACGACTGTATTAAACTTTCAAACGAAAGGACAAGAAATAACTTAAAGACTACGAACACTATGCAATATTATTCGAGCGATGAACCAGCGTAAGAGTTTTTAGGCGATGAATGCCAGAGTTAATGTTTAACCGAAACGTGATCAGTTGAATTAAAAACTGAAGCTAGTATCAAACGACGATTGGTAAAAAAAAAAAGTTTGAATTTTTTCTGGGTCTTAGCGTAAGAGAAAACCCAGATAGGACACGACTTATCTCCTCTTCTTTCGCGGATCCTTTGCAGTTCGCTCCTCTTTGTTGATGACCTCTTTTTTGTCTGTTTTCAGAAGCGACTTTGTATTTCCTTCTCGCGTTGCTCTTCGCTAGAAACTCGCCTTTTTATTTATGCCCTTTAGTGTTCTCTTTCGTGTTCCTCTCGCCGTATTCTGCCTATTTTGGCGTCCTTTGTAACTTTCTTGTGCGATTTTCTGGACTCGCTTTACGCAATTTACTTGTTGCTTTCTTTGGTCGCTCTGTCTCTTTATATCCAGCCTATTTTCAATTAAAACCCTCCCTCCACGAACTTGAATTATAACAATTTCCTCCGGTTGACAAAGCTTAAACTCTGCCGGTATTGTTGTCTTACGAGTTGTTTAGAAATTGCAAAATACTGAGAATTACTGTTCAACTACATCCCGACCAGTTTGATTTCCCGCTCAAACGCGGGTGGCAAATTTCATGTGCTAGCTCACGCTAAGCCCTAGTGCAATGCCTAACCGTGTGCCCGCAGTACGCTACATTGCAGCTCGACGTTCGAGTATGCGCACTTTATCGTCATCTGACGGTGTCTCTTGGCGCATACTAATGTGGTATCCAAGTTACGCACGCAATCGCGCCTGCGCATTACCTTCTCCCTCGCCCTTCCATTACGTAATGGCTAAGATAGTGCCCGTGGTACAGTTGGCCGCGCATGCTAAAAGTAGCACCTTGTACGGTCGTACGGTCGTACAACCAAATTTTTTCAGTTTGATGGGTTACTACTATTTTGTATAGTTATGGGGCTACGCTCTCCGAGCTCCGCTATAAACTCAGCTGTTGCCCGACCGTTGCAAGCTTTCGTTTAAAGACCAGCAAACGTAAATTGACAAGTTTTACAGACAGCACGTGTAAATACAAAATTGCTTAGTGCACTTTGAACTCAACCCATCGCTAAACATCTGGCTTTCTGAAATAACAAGTGATGAACCAGTTTGCGAATAAAATTGGAGTCTACATTGCAACTAAAACATACAACGTCTTAATAGTGATACAGACACATGTTCAATATCATAGGACTTGACGTTCAGTCATTCTAATCGACCTAATCTATTAAATAATAATAGGATTAATTTTCATCTTAAGTTCTTTGAACTTTTAAAATTTGCGGTTGTCGAAGAGAACTTGTAACCCTTGTTGTTTCTAGAGATCAAGCTAGGTGCCAAGTGATCTTGGTGCGACATCGATGAAATAAGATCTCGTGTTTTTCTCACTTGTGTCCCAGTTAAATATTTTCAATTCATAAGTTTACTATATTTCTCAGCTTAACGCCGCGGCATTCGGCGTTACAATTTTTAGTGATTCAACGGCCTTATTTTGCCGATTTGTGCAATTTTGCTTTTAATAAAAGTTTAAATGAAGATTTCACCCAACTCTTGTGAACTCTACTTAGACAAAAGTCTATTGTGATAAAAAATTTCTGGGAAAAGACGGTAGTAAATAAACCTTGCTTAAAGTTACGCAATTGGGTAAAGTTTATTGTGATCAAAGATTTCTAGGACAAGACGGTAGTCAACGAACCTTCTTGAGAGTCACGCAATTCTTTTGAATCAGTTTATGACAAAAAGAAGTTAACAACACAAACTTTCCCTCTTACACTAGGAATTAAGGAGGTATTGCACAACACGGTTTCTTTATCAACGTAAATTGTATCAAAGCTTTGCAACTAACCCTCTGCATAATCAACGGTTTTGCGTGAAATAGTCAAGCAAATGGTTAGTGATAATTTATTATTACAACTATACCTTTCCTACAAAATGAAGTTTTCGCTTTTTCACTGACGAAGAATGCCTCAATCAATCGACGAATCAAAGAAACATGCCTTCATCAGAAACGCATTTATCAGACTGCCCAGTGGGGATTTTAAGCAAACATGGATTCTCAGTAATGTTGAATTTATTGTGGCTGACAGGACAGAATGAAAGACGATGATTCAGCAGCCTTATTTCGCCGGTTTGTGCAATTTTGCTTTGAATAGAACTTTCAATGAAGATTTTACCCAACTGTCGTAAACTCTACTTAGATGAAAGTCTATTGTGATCAAAGATTTCTGAGAAAAGATGGTAGTAAATAAACCTTGCTTAAAATGACACAATTGGTTAAAGTCAAGTTAAAGAAGGAAGTCAATAATGCAAAATATCTTTAAAAGTCGTTCTATTTATGTAATAAACAGCTTAAGGGCCTTATGTTCAACTTTGTAAAATTACTGGTGTTGTTTACAGTGAAGTAGTAAATAAGTAATATTATTTTGCTACCACACCTATCTCTACTATATTGTGAAGTTTTCGCGTGTTCTCGGTTGGTATGAATGCTTCAAAGACACAAGCCTCAGGATTAAGAAATTTGGGCAAACATTTATTTGTGTTGATGTCGAATTTATGTGGCTGTGTAGAATGTCGGTCTTCAAACGCCCACTAGCCAATATACGTCTCAAGCGTGTCAAAGCATTATCTTCATGTCTGACAGGATTTTTTTTCAAGGAGTGATGACAGTAATTCCTAAAACTAAATGTCGGGGAGAACTAGCTATCGAACACACCACGCCCGGCGAAAGGCACCAAGATTCTCGATCTGTCTTTCTCCACTTTCTTTAGTTACTCAGTTCTCCAGTACACAATTCCACTTACATCCAAGCTTATTTCATTCTGTGTAACTCTGGTTAATCTCTTAGGCTCCCACACCTTGATTTTCAATGGATACTACTTCTTCAACTGCAGCATTCTAACTCTACTCTACTGCACACTGTCTACATTATTCTAGTCTTCTCTTCTCTCTACTTCATCTATTCTCTTTTCACTCTCCTCCCCACTGTCTTTTAATTAAACGCTATAGAACATGCTTATATATTTACTACTGACAGATTTGGGTGGGCATGCCAGCTGGCATGCCCACCCCGTGTGGGTCGGTAAACAAACTAAGCACGTCTACTTGAGGAAGTTAGAAAACACTGTCATAATTCGGAAACTCATCGCGACAGCTCAAATCTAAATAACTTCGTGTCGAGTTATCAAAACTAAGCAAGAAGACTACAACGTGTTCAGTCAACAACCATGTTTAATCCTCTAACTATTACTGCTGCGCATGCCCCAATATGCGCGTGACACAAACCGAAAGTACAAAGTTCAATTACGCAACACTTCGGAATTCGAATTCATACAAATTAAATACTTTCTAAATATAAACGAAAAATTAAATCATACTGAACTGACTAGCTAACTGACTTACTAATTACAAAATTACTAAATTCTTCATAACAGTTCACGAAGTTGAAAGTTACGACATCATAACATCGTTGGCAAAAAAGTAAGGTGTTTACGGTAAGTAAAAAAAAGAATCCGAACAAGAGGGAAAGCTGAGGAGTGGACATAGTGCTCTGTGGTAATTTAATTGGCTTGTTTTTTATGTTGTTTGAGCTTTCCAAACAAAACTGCTACTGCTATGAAATCATATGAATATGATTCTTACGGTGGGATCTGAAGGTCCGTCTTACAGAGCAGCACAAGACGTTAATTTGTGACGATATATAGAGGACAACAGTTGCTCGGCTTTAAAAAAAGTCAGTGTTGACATAATGATATCCAACGATACGCCGTTTACTTAGCCGTTGCCTGACCATATTTTCGAGGGCATGCAAGTTTTCTTTACTTCAGGAAGAGTTGAGGGACAGAGTGAAATTGACAATTTCAAACAGTTTGTTGTGCCTGAGGTCAGAAAAATGTAAGGATCAACCGCTTTGATTAAATTTCCCGATGGCCTTTCTGTCACAGGAGCAAAGCAAAATTAGCTCATTGGTTACGCAGAAATCTAGGGTGATGGGAGGATTTTCATGAGGGGACCTTACAGCTTCCAGGAAATTAGTTATTTTTGACCCATTATTTTCACATGGATGGTAACTCATAATGGCCAGCATTTGTGCTGGTTTGAGCCAAATCGGTGATTTTAGCATTAACTACCTGCCTGGCTCTTTTGATATTTGTTTTAATTTTCTCTTTATTTTTTAGAGCGGAAGACACTTGCATTGTTGCGAAGAAGAGGAAGCCTCCACATGGGGGTAAGCTTTAAAAAGAATTTGTTGGAAATCGGTAGGCCTCCTAATTCGTTTTTTGTTTCACGTTGTACACAGTTTGCATACAAAACTCCTTGAAGTTTTTTTTCTAAATAGTTTGTCATTGTGTTCGTAGAGATAAGACATTACAAGGAGTAAAGATTAACAGACCAAAGAGTAACAAAAAACTTGATTTCCATGACGTGTAATGAACATGCAGGTTTCATCACTGCAGAAATGCTATTACTCTTTCAGAAGGGTCCTTCACGTCCCCGTGGCTATGTGTACGTATACAATGGTGGAAGGGACAATCGAGAAGGGCAAGAAAGAGAACCTGGACGCAAGAAGAATGAGGAAAAGCAAATCGAGATTAAAAGACAAATTTATGTGGAACAGATTAAAAGCGATGGATGCGAGCAGCGATGTGACGACGAAGCAGCATTGGAAGAGACGAGAAAAAACTTGGAGGAACTCGAACTGGAAAATCATCTTTGTCAAAGCCGGAAAGAATTGTTCGATTACAAGTTTGGTGACAAGAGCACAGATCTAGAGACCTTGCATCCTCATGTCACCCAACTGAGGATTGCATTATTTGGCCAAACGGGTTCAGGAAAGAGTTGCCTCATCAATACATGTGAACGTGCAGTGAGGGGAACAGAAAGGGGCTCTGCAGAGAGCAGTTCAGGAGAAGAATGGACTGTTACGCTCCAGGACCATCTGCCAGAGATGTTCTTCCACCTGGTCGACACTAGAGGTTTCTTCAATTTTGATTCTAACGAGACTGTTGAGTTTCAGAACATCTTGCTCGGGAAAATCCAACCTGGCGATACAATAGATCGTCCTATGAATGAGCAGACCAATCAGCAGAAGTTGCATCAATTCCCAGCATTTGAGAAAAGAGTGCACGGAATCATCATCGTTGTAAAGGCAAATGACCCGCGACTACAGAAGGGAACATTGAGGGAATACCTTCAACCAGTCCTAGAAATAATTGATAATAATGGTAATTTCTTAACTTACTTTTGTCGTTCCTGAGAATTACAAGCTTTATGGCCTTACCGGAAAACGTTGAAAAAAACGCCATGAGGGCAAAGTCGGCAAATTTTCTACCATTAATTATTTTTCGTTATTATTTTCAGGGATTAAGCCTATAACAGTCGTCACTCACTATGACACACTTCATACGGAGGAAGAGCGTAAAGCTGCCCTTAAAGAAGCGTCAGAAGCTACAGATAGTTCCCCTTCTCACACACTCTTCATTTCGAACTATACCAAAGAAAATTGGGTTCGTAACACTAAGATAGAGCGCATGGCACTTGAAATTCTGCACAGAGCAGTAGAGGAATCCGAAAAGGCTGTAATAAGGGTCATGGAGGAAACAGGTTTGTTAATTGATGAGCTGAGAAACTAGTTAACTTTTTGACTGATAACTAGGTAAATTTGGTCGTTGTTGAATATTATCAAGGCCGAGTTTTAAAAAGATGGGAAAGGATTGTTGATTACCACCATTGCACTGATGTGTACAGATTCTAGTTGAACTTGTTTCTCATGCTTGTTGTATTCAATTTATGCCATCGAGAATAAAGTAGTTTATACCACATTTATAGTATGTGCACTCTCTTATCTTTTCCTTTCCGCCTTTTACATCCACATTAGTACCTCGAGAGATTCTTGAGCGAGGACCCTTGGCTTTGGAAGCCTATAATAAGGCTCGTAGTGAGGGGACCACAGTTGTTAAGAGGGTACCCATCATGTTGATCGGACAAAACCGCTCAGGAAAGACCAGCTTAAAGAAGTCACTCCGAGGCCAGCCTTTCGATGAAAATGAGAAAGGCACTTCAGGGATAGATGTTGACCCTTCATTCTTTAAAGTTTCTTGCGAGCTTTGGAAGGTTGGGGAGAGAGACCAAGATGCCAGTCCAGTTTCGGCATCACTATTCGATTGCCACATTGCCAAATCCACAGTTAAAAATTTGAGTTTGAAGACAAAATTTGAGGTTGGTTCAGCCAGAGCTATCGACCCAGAAGACTCCGACTCTAAAGAAGCCCACACAAATTTATTTCCTGAACGCTCACTTACGCGTATGACTTCCAAAGAAACCTCTGCCTGTGAGGAGGTACCAACGGTGTCAGAAAACCCTGATAAAACAGCAGATTCATCGACACACATCAGGCCTGGACCCGATATAGAAAATGATTGGGAATCAAAAGAATGTTTGCGCAACGTAACAGAAATGTTGCTGCAAAAAATAATTCCAAACGAGGAAGACGTATTTTCCATGTTCTGGGACTTTGGTGGAGAATCAGTCTACTACACCACACATCCAATATTTCTAACTCCAAAAGCGATATACTTATTGGTTCATGATCTCAGCAAGGATGCAGATGCACTTTCCAAACCAGTCAGTTACCAAGGACGGTACAAAAACTACACAGACAGCCACTGTTTAAAACAAAATGTCGATTACCTCTATTTTTGGATGTCTCTTGTTGCCTCTTTAGCCAATCACCACGATAGTGATCCCTCAAACACAACATCAAAAACATTGCCTGAAAACCTCCCCCCAGTGTTCTTGGTGTGCACCCATGCAGACGAGCCCTTTGGTCGCAGTGATGCCACAACGCTTAGCCGAAGTGTTTATGGGTCTTTAAAAGGAAAATCAAGTGGAACTCACCTTTGGAAAGATTTTTTTGTCGTAGACAATACCAGATCCGGCAAAGAGCCTGAATGTTCAGGGGTTGTGCACCTACGTAAGGAGGTACGTGCTGCTTGTAACGAATTACAAAAGCAAGGAGAAGCCATACCAATCAAGTGGTTACTATTTGAAACTGTTATTACGGAGAAAAAAGAAAAAGGCTTCAAATTTATTTCCTTTGAGGAGGCCAGAAGAACTGCCGCTGAAGAGTGTGACATCTGCGACAAGGATCAGTTTCGGACATTAATGAAGCTTTTGCATGACCAAAGAATTTTGATTCACTTTGATGAAACTCCTGAGCTAGACAGATTGGTGGTATTAGACTGTCAATGGTTGATCGATGTGTTCAAGAGCGTAATTACAGTCAAGCCCTATGAAGGAGAGGACAACAAATTTGCAGGCCTTTGGAAAACGTTTGAGGAGGAAGGAATCTTAAAGGAAGAACTCCTGAAACACGTCTGGAGCCCTTTGTTCAAGGAACAGATTACCTGCGAGAGTCTTATTGCAATTATGGAGAAGTTCAGTTTGCTTTGCTCTTTGCCCTTATCTAATCCTTCCCATGCAAGAGAGTATTTGGTGCCATCAATGTTGATGTATCTTCCCTCAGAGGATGTTAAAAGCTTGGTGGAATCCTCAAAGATTCCCTCCCTTTTCATAAAATTTAAATCTGGACAAGTTCCTCCAGGCTTATTCCATAGACTGGTCCTCGAGTTCTTTCCTTGGGGCCAGGAAAATCAATCAAGCCAATTACGCCCCAGCCTGCATCAAAATTATTTCAGATTTTACCTCCCTGAAAAGAGAAACTGTTCTTTTATCCTCCTCAATCATTCCTCTTCTATTGAGGTTGTTTTTCACTCAGTTGAGTCAGCTGACGTTTCCTTTGTTCCGAAATTACGTAGGCAACTTGAATTGGTTCTTACATCCATGCGTATTAAGTTCTTCTGGCTCAAGAGCATGAGGTATGAAATAGCTTTCATCTGCCCAGTCTGCTGTCAAGGTAAAGCCGTTAGCTTCTTCTGCACTCATAAGATTCGAGGTTGCAAGCAAGAGGAATGTCTGCACTTCTGGTTGGAGTCTGAAATTAACAAGGAAAGTAACTGCACCAAGAATGCCACGGCAGAGGATTTTAGTGTTCACATTGAGAAATTTGCCCCCTGGACCACCCCAACAGAAATCCGAGTGAGTGACTTTTAGAAGTTTTGTATTATATTCCTTTTGTTTTATAGATTTATAGCACTTCGAATGCTAAGGACGATAAACCGTAAGCCCTGTCTCCTGAATCTTGAATCCTTCCCGTATCTAGAATTTACTATTTGAAATGGAGTACTGAAATATCACCCAGACGACCAGACTAAACGGTCACTCACGATCACCTGGAATTATCTTTCACGATTTTCTGTTCTTTTAATTAATGTTCTACAGTCAACTGACGGCACACATGCTGAGACCCAAACGGCCGGTGACAAAGGTATGTAAAGTGCTAAATGGACGTTCTCACTTAAACATATAATCTTTATTTGTCCTCTGTTGTCGTATGAACTATTTTTAAAATAGAAAATATTGAAAATAATTTAGAGAACTAGCTGCCTGGAAAAACCATAGGGGCTAAAGAAGCCAAGCAGACAGTTGACATCGGAACTACAGTTGTCTAATAATCCTCTCAGGTCCTCGATGGAAGCCCTTGTTTCACTTGGTGACGTAAATATCTACAAATAGATTTCATGGTGGCGTTCGTTTGTGCAATAATAGATCACAGAATGTGTAAAAGCAGCCGAGTTTTTCAATGGCGTCTTGGCATGTTGCCTATTTGTTTTGTTTTTCCGTCTTTAAATGTGAGTCAAACAGAAGATTTTATTCACTCAGCGCCACCTCTTTCTTGCCATACAACGTTTACAACCGGCACAGCCCTTCTAAGGTTTTTATTATTGCCAGTTGATGTCAGTTTTTCCAGAAAACCCACCACCAATTCTCCAAATTCTAGACCAACTACCGAGAACGATTCGATGAGCAGATATAAAAAACTTGATTGAATTTAGCCCTCTTATCTACTACCATTAGAAATCCTTCAGGTTGAAAAATTCCTTTCGGAATGTACAAGTGATACTACACCTGATGATTTCTTGTCAAAATTGACGACTATTCTGGAACTGGACCAATCCGCCCTTCAGTATCCAGATCTTGCAACCAAGACAGTTTTCCGTATCCTTGCAAGAAAAGCCAAAGTCATGAAAAGAGTTGATGTATTTGAGCGTTTGAGAAACATTTTGCCCGCTGGAACAACTGGTTAGTCTGTGAAATTAAATTTTTACTTATGTCTATTTTACATATATTATCGCACTGAACACTCATTAAGGTAGGAGAAAATAAACGATTCCACACGTTATATAACATTTTACAATTTCTAGATTCAAGCTTTTATTAGCTGCATGTTTCCGTATTAAAACTTTGTTATTTCGCCGATAGAAAAATAGTTAATTGGCTGTTCCCCCTTCCTTTTCCTCTGGGATCTACGTGATCGCCCAAAAATCGTCCGACCTCCTCCCACCCCCCTCCCCCCCCCCCCAAGGCGGAGAATAATGCCGGAGTCGGAGGATTTTGGATGTGTCACGATAAATACTACCTGATCCCCCATAAGTCTTTCAACTTATATCCCCCCCCCCAATCCCTTCCTTCAGAAGATGTATATTGAGTGGTCCAAAAGTCGAATTTCCCCAATATCTTGCTACGTCTTTCTGGAATGAGTTATTATTAAAAATTTAAACGTTCTGCTAATTAATATGTAGGTCCCTCTTTGGCTGAACATATCGATGTTTGTGACATTCCTTTGGCCCAAAGACTTTGTCTTACAATGCATTTGAGCGGTACGTATTGAGCTTGTAAAGAAAAGAGTAACTTGGGAACCAGTCCGGATTCATCGTCGGAGGGGGGTCGAAGGACTTCTTTTTGAGACGATCCTATGGTTTTCAGGGAAATACGGAGAGGAGTCGGTCCTCTAGATCAGAGTTTAAAGGGGGAACTATAAAAAATTGATTGCTAATGTGGAAATATCATTAGAATATTGTAGAGCCTTATGGGGAGATCGGTAAATTTTATTATGTTGCAACCAAAATCCTCTCCTAAAACGTTCCCGCCAATAAATAATGAGAGCAAATCAATCGTTCACACATAATCCCAGAGCACTCCGCTCTGGGATTATTTGGAAAGATCATGACATACCCATGTAATGGCCAAGAGTCAAAAGCTAAACCAAGCTCAACCTTATGTTAAGTTCTGTACCTCTATGTGCCATATGAGGAACGCTCTCAAAATTTTGAACAGCTCTGAAGATTAGATACGGCGAAACATGAGGACAGATATAAATATACCTTTCCTTGTCGTAGGTGGAGATAAATGGAAGATGGTAGCTGAACATAAGAAACTGGGATTACAGCCATTTGAAATCCAATACTTTGACGATCGTCATACGAATCCATTTGAAGCAGCTTTGAGTTTGGTTTCTAAACGGCGGCATTTAAGTGTAGGTAGTCTGTACGACCTGCTAAACGAACTTGGATATCCTCAAATTGCTGACTTACTTTAGATAGGATGGATTTGGATTTATCTCTTTTACATCAAAGAGCAGGTTAATGAACAATCTCGACATTTTTCTGTAGTTTGTTCATACAGCCATTGAGTTACATTGGCTCTACGGTCAACTAAACTGTAAGAGGACGGGTTCCCTCATAAGTTGCAGTATTACAATAAATTTACAGATTTCTATAGTAAGAAACCTCGAACTGACAAAAAACTAGGCAGGAAAAACAAAAACGAAACTTAAGAAAACGAAATAGGTGAAGCAGCCACCGACTGCCAATAAAGTTTGATTTTGAACTCAATGTAGAAATATTTGATCCCTATATTATAAAAAGGTCAGCATTCAGCTCAGTAAGATTTTTGGAATTTTAGGAAAAACCGCTTTTAAAGGATGTTTGTTAGTTACGTTAGTTGATTCCTTTTCAAAAGTTTGTGTGAATGAACATCAACTAAACGAAAACTTCATGAAAGTAACGGTGATCACCACATTACCTTTAATTTGTTAGCATCTCCAATCAAATTGGAGAGGACCAATCTGGAATCCCTCCGTCGTCATATCACCTATATCATGCGATACATTTTTTTTTTTGATGACAGGATCATACCCACCACAAAATATATTAAGCGTCACACTTTTCAAGTGCACAACTCCATTTGTCTTCTCTAGCGATGGTGCTAAGTGTACATCTACTTATGATAACTTTCTATTTACTCTTCATAACGCTATCCAAAAGAATATAATTTGGGTTCTCTCGCCATAGCGTAATGTTTTTCCTATCCTGTCGAAAACGTGGAAAAGCTGTACCACGCTTCCTTATTAACTCGCGAGTTATTCACTTGATTGAACGATTTTGCTACAACGCTTCGGTTAACTCCCACTCTCAACTCTCGGCTTATTCGAAGGAAACGCCTATTCAACATCCCGTTGTAAGTACGTGGAACAGTGGCATACATGGGGCGATTAAACACGTGCCGCATACACGTTTGTTTGGTTATGTATAAACAAACGAAATTTCTCATTTGGGTCTTTCGAAATGTCCTTCCCACCATGGCGCCCTACTCACATTAAAGCGCCAAGTGATGGATTGATCACTCAAGAATGAGCGAAACTTCTCATCCTCCTTCACTTTCTTCAGCCACTTTGCCGCAGCTGTGAACGTAGAACCGTTGTCTGAGTAGACAAGGGATGGTCGATCAGACGTTTAAAGCTCTTGTCATTAGAAATTTTCCCTTTCTAAGCTGGAAGATTCCGCGGGTAAGACAACAAGAATATAGTACGACGTAGGCTTTCTCCTCTGTCTTGCACTTACCACCATACTTAATTGGTTTAGCGAAGTCTACCCCGATGACATCAAAAGGTGTACTCCCTTCAGTACATGACTTCGGTAGATCACCTGGTGGTGGGTCATGAAGGGGCTGAGCCTGGAACCTCATGCAGCCATAGCAGTGCTTCACTAGTCTCTTAGCAAGCCGTCTAAGCCTTGGCACCAAGAATCTTTCTCGTACTTTAGCCATTGTCATGCTGACTCCCCCATGGAGAGTTGTCTCGTGCGCTTTCTTCACTATTTCCGCTGTGGAAGAATTAGAATCCGGTAAGTAAATCGGATACTCACCCTGAATGCGTCCTCGGCATTCCTATACACCATCGGTGTTAAGTTGCAGATTCAGTTATTCCTGATCACGGGCAAACTTGACCTTTGGCTCTGCGCTCGCTTAATCCAGGACATTTCTTGTTGCTAAATTTCTTCGGTCGTAAGAGGCCTATGATATTCTCGGAAGGGTGACGAGAATTATGATTGAACCGCGAGATCCATGCACAAATTCTCATGGCTTTACGCAAGCCGAACTTCCCGAGAACAGTGTCAAAGTCATCGTTTGCTTCGACACCGAGCGCGAAAAGTTCTCGTTGAACCTTCTTCTCTGCATTGCTGTCATCTACCGCCTCTGTCACTGCAGGCCACTGGGATGGGTCGAACAACCACGGGGGACCGTTCCACCACAGCTCCGTTTCATTCACACTTCCTCCTCGGCTCCCCAGGTCAGCTGGGTTCTCAGATGTCGGTACATGTCTCCCCTGCGTGTTCGGGTGGCTCTGGATCTTTTTAACCCGATTAGCCACGAATTGGCGGTACTCCCCGTCATCGTTCAGCAAGTGTAGGGCTACAGTGCTGTCAAGCCAGCACTGTATATCCTCCATCATGTGGAAGCCTTCTAACGCAGCCCGCACATTTGTTAACAAGTTGACTGTCATGTGGCCTGACATGAGCTCCAAACGAGGAATCGTCAGACTTTTCTTGGCAATGCGGGATTTGGCGGCAATCAGGCCCTGTGTCACACTTGAAGCTAATGTAATCACAGCATACACTGCAGCACACACACCGTGAATACTTGCATCACCAAATGCATAAAGTTAAATGTTGTCGATCGGTTCCTGGTACTGAACAAGAGTGCGAGGAAAGTACACATCATCCGATGCATTCTTTTCCCATTTTAGCCACCGTTTTGCAGTCCCCTCAAGAAATGGGGCATTCGGGCTCAACTTCATCTCACTGGCTTCTCGATAGATTTTTTTCCCCTCCAACATTGCAGGCGACACAAGAACTAACGGGTTATAAACCTTCGCTTAGGTGGGAGTGAAACATGTATAATGTCATCCACTTTGTCCCAATTGAGTCCCAGTAATTTGCATTCTCCACGAACTGATGATGCACCAAGCTGTTGTTTAACAAATGAAGGCTCGTCATTGGTACAGTTGCCTTCTAGTTCTAGCATATTTGAGTGCCATTTGTGCAAGGTGAACTTTGCACGATTAAGAGAGTGTCTCTGTAAGAGCGGTCCGGTCGATTTTGCTTGAGACACGGATTTCGCTCGTTTCTCGTGTGTTGTAAGACATTCATGTACCTATACTAAAACCACAATCGGTTTGATCGGATCTCTTTATTTTTCAGAGTTTTACGGAAATTAAATTTCACTCGAGCGAAGGCTTGTCGTGACACTTTTCAAGACTTTAATTTCATACAACTTTGGAGGAAAATTTACAAAAAACTACGGAACTCAGCAAAAAACAAATACCACAGCCATGTATATTAACTCTATCTTATCTATCGAGGCGACTTTCGTAAACATCACGTTTCAATCAAGGAAACAGGAAGACTTGAATGACACCTTATCGGTTCGTCTAAATCACACACGCCAAAACCGATCAAATTCAAGGTAAATTTTTGAAAAAGTGAGGCGTTCTTAACTGATCCAACTAACATAGCTAGGAAGTACGTGCCATAGAAAAGGTAACTACAGAAAAAAACTTTGCGGCCCGACCTTTACGAGAACTTTATCACTCCGTGAACTTACCTAATTTTCGGCAATCTCCAAGTTTGGCCGCCATTTTGAGGGACTTGTCAACATGAAGCGTAACCGATATAAATCAAGCAGGTAGATCTAAAACCGTCAGAAATACATATGAAAACAATTCAAGTAAACTTTACTTTCAATTCAAGCGGCAAAATTTGAAATTGTTCGGTAAACTTACCAAGAACGACAAGAACGGTGATCAGGTAGCGATCGCCATGTTTACCTGATAAACGTGATCGCTGACCAGCCGCTGAGTGAAAACAGTACGGTTCAGTGGTGAGGGGCGGGGTGAGGGGTGGGGTCGGGCAGATTATCAGAAGATTTTTGGGAAAATTCGAACATATGCATTAAAGTATCATGATAAGCATTAGGAATCTCATACTCAATGCGAAGGCATGCTTCGTGTTGCAGACAACTTTTGTTTTACTTAGTATAATTTTTTTCTTTCAAATACATTTCGTTCCAAATAGAACTGACGTCATTTCATAGATTTAAAAACAAATCTTTACCACGTAAATAAATGTGTTTAGATAATCGAGATAACCATTGAACCTCTTGTATCGCACCAGAAATAACGTGTCTTGTCTTTGCCCAACTCTGAGAGGCTGGAGCGGCAAAGACACGAGACACCAGTCTCGCGTCTCGCGGCTTCTTCATGCTCACAGGATACGCATGACCTTACTATCTTTAAGAAAAATAAGAGACTGCTCGAAGTCTGTATTCCGTTCAACCATTTCATCAGAGTGACGCGAATCTTTCAATTGGGTGAGAAAGTCACAAACCCATTCTTTACCTCACAAGCGTAACCACTGACCACTCACGAATTACAGTAGGCTTCTCCTTTGACGCGAAAATTGAAATCGTATCGAGTATACAAAGTTATAATGAGTTCCATTAGATCTCCCGAACTTGTATCGCGTTGGAAATAATTACAAGTATAGGAAGAAGTCGTTCGTTAGCGAGACGTTCATTATGTCTCAGGACTGCTTTTTGAATAGCAAAGATGGAAAAAACTTTGGTTGATAGCGTGGCTTAAGTGGTTTGGTACGACTGTCTGAATGTAATGACGAACTAAAACATCATTTGATAAGCTGCCACCTGTCTAAAGAGGTCTTAAGTGAAAATGAACTACTCTTGGCAAGGATTGGCCTACTTCACCTCGTTCAGGAGGATAAACAAAAAAATGTGGATTCGCTATAGGTATCGCCACACCTTGGGGAAGTTTTGGAGAAGTGCAAAGGTAACATGTCAGTATCCTGATCATGATGGTGTCAGGAAGCGTATCCAAGGCAGAGATGTAATTACCTTGCATATGTCTCAGGACGTTCAAAAGCTGTTTGAAGTTATTATTCCAGTTGAATCAGGTAGTCTTCAGTAACATTTTCTGTTATCTATTTTTTCTCACGTGACATATCTGCTCGAAAAGAGAAGAAATTCTTTTTAGATGAAGGGTACTTAAGTACACATCACGTTGAAAAAACATAGATCTGTGTTTAAGTGCTTTTAATTGCAGATGGAAATATGTACAATGTTGCTTGGTTGATAATCAATAATGTTTTTGTAGAAGATCAAATCACCTGACAACGCAATACACTTATTCATGCGTACGGTTCAAAATTATTTGCGGTTAGTTTTCCTCAGTTTGTATGATTCTCATTAACCAGTATGATTAAATTTGCAGACTAAAACACCCCTTATTTGATTAAGAATAATGAAAGTAAACAGTGAATATCGGTTTTCAATTCCTTATGGATGCTACTAGGCTTTACTTTAACTGAGAAATTTGCAATCGCCCACCTCAGCTCTCTGTGTCCCATGCTGTAAGAAGCACAAGAAAAAAGTTGATGATAGTGAGTCTTGGCT